CGATTTTTTTTTTACCAAAATTCTGAAATAATAAAAAAAGTTTATATCTCAGAGTAGATGAAAATACGTTGAAAAACAACGAAGTTTTTTCGCATTTCCTGATCGTTCCTATGGCAGCTATAAGGTATAGTCGTCCGATTTTCATAAAATTTTTTCCAAACTTCTGGAATAATATAAAATGGCTATATCTTAAAAATGATGCAAAAATATTGAAAAACACCCAAGTTATAATTTTTTTTCTGAAAATTTATCGAACATTTGTATGGCAGCTATATGATATAGTCGTCCCATCCGGCCCGTTCCGACATATATAGCAGTGAGAGTATATAGAAGACTATATGCAAAGTTTCATTCAGATAGCTTTAAAACTGAGGGACTAGTTTGCGTAGAAACGGACAGACGGACGGACAGACGGACATGGCTAGATCGACTCGGCTGTTGAGACGGAAACGTCTCCTTCACTGCGTTGCAAACTTCTGACTGAAATTATAATACCCTGCAAGGGTATAAAAACACCCACGCAGAGGGCGCAGATCTACGCAGCCGCGCAGGATAGGGAAGCAACCCAACAGACTAGAGCAGCGTCGAAGATTACCGCCAGAAGGAGAAGCCTCGAGAACTGGCAAAATCGCTGGGACTCATCGCAAATGTTAACCCCCACCCTTCCCTTATGAACATGCCCCCCCCTCTTACTACTAAATAAACGAATTAAAAAAAAAAACCCACACAGTTTCATAACTCCCGCGGCAGAGATGTCCTACAGCGAGGTCCTGAGCAGGGTCACGCGCACCCAGGACTCTAGAAAGGCAGGAGTTGGGGACAAGGTGTCCAGAGTCAGAAAAACGGCTCCTTTTTGAGCTTAAAAAGTCCTCTGGACCTTCCCTCACCGCGCTGAAGGAGCAGATGGGGAGTGTGCTAGGCGGAGGATTGCCGATCCGCACTGTGTCACCTCAGACCACATTCCTTATCCGGGACCTAGACGAGCTGGTAACCAGGGAGGAGCTTTCGGCAGAACTCGCCTCACAGGCTAACTTCCCACCTGGTTCTGTTACCATCAAGAGCATCCGCTCCCTCGGCAAGTGGAGGGCAGGTGGCAACGTTCTCCGTCCCAGAGACTGTAGCTGGTTCCATAGATAGTCTGGGGAGGGTAAAAGTCGGCTGGACGAGATGTCGCATAAAAGTGATAGAATCTTGTCCCAGATGCTTCCACTGCATGGAGCCAGGGCACATAGCGGCCAGGTGCACCAGCACCTCCGACAGAAGCAGCTCTTGCTTCAGGTGTGGCCAGGAGGGTCATAAAATAGCCGCCTGCAACAATAGTCCGCGCTGCTTCAGATGCGCCGAGTCGAACCTCAGCGACACGAATCACCAGGCGGGCAGCAGCCACTGCCCCTTAGTGACGTCGCGTAGAGCAGCCAAAACAAAAAGGGCATGATAGTGGTTCAGCTGAATTCGAACCACTGCACGGCAGCACGACTTGCTGTCGTAATCGGTCCGAGAACGCGGTGTCGATGTTGCCGCTATCAGTGAGCCGTACAGGGTAGGCCCCGGCCCACACTGGGCGGTGGACAGCTCTGGCAAAGCTGCCTTGTGGTCTTGCGGCAACACACCGCAAGGCTCTCAAGGCGGCAATCCGGAAAAGCAAAACCAAATGCTTTCTAGACCTTTGCGACACCGCGGACATCGATCCCTGCGGAAACGCCTACAGGATCATCGTCAAGAAGATCCACGGGGCAAAACAGGGCGCCCCTCATGACGCAGAGAGCATCGACAGGATAGTCGAGCACCTGTTCCCGAGGGCGGATAACCCCAGAGCCACGCTGGAGATTGCTACGCACTCTCTGGAAGGGTTCGAGCCAGTCCTGGAGACGGAAATCCTATCAGCGGCGGCGAGAATCAGAGAGGCGAAAGCCCCTGGCCCTGACCTCGTTCCCAATAGAGCCCTGAGACTTGCCCTTTCGCTTCGCCCGGATCTATTCGCGGAGCTGTACGGAAAGTGCCTTAGAGAAGGAACATTCCCTAGGAGATGGAAGGCTGGTCCTACTTCCGAAACCAGGAAAGCCGCCAGAAGACCCTTCCGCTTACAGACCAATCTGCCTGATTGACGGGGCGGGCAAGGTACTGGAGCAGCTGATCCGGACGAGGCTAGAGACGGCCATCGCTTCGACGATCTATCTGACTCCCAGTTCGGATTAAGGAAGGCTACGTCGACGGTTAATGTCATCTCCAAAGTGGCGGGCATCGCAAAAGCCGCCATTGCAGGACAACGGTGGAAAGGAGGCGCGAATTAGTACTACTTGATTGTCACGCTAGACATCTGCAACGCCTTCAATACGGCGAGATGGGGATATATCCTGAAGAGCTATTTCAGAGGCAGAACCCTGGTATACGACTCGGACGGCGGTGTCAGATCGGCCGAGCTCTCCTACGGAATTCCGCAAGGGTCGGTTTTGGCACCGTTGCTGTGGAATGCCATGTACGATGCACTATGGTTTTTTTCGCGTTTTTTTTGGCATAAACTCAAATTTTAAACCTATTGATCTGAAATTTGGTTTGTATACATTTTTTAAGCTTTTATGATGACCTACCAAGTTTCAAATGATTTGGGGCACTATTTCATATAGCTGCCATATAACCGATCTGGCCGATTTGCACCAACTTTTTTGTTTTTCAAGTTATTGCTTTGAAATTTGGTTTGTATACATTTTTTAAGCTCCCAAGATGACCTACCAAGTTTCAAATGATTTGGTTATATTTTAACAAAAAAACTTTTTTTGGCGAATCGGCCAGATCTGTTATATGCCAGCTATATGAAATAGTGCCCCAAATCATTTGAAACTTGGTAGGTCATCATAAAAGCTTAAAAAATGTATACAAACCAAATTTCAGATCAATAGGCCTAAAACTGGAGTTTATAGCAAACAAAACGGGAAAAAACCATACTGATATGGTACTAGAAAATTATGATTTTTTTCGAAAACGTGTGGATTCGGACAAAAACGGTTAGTTTCTCATTAATCTGCACACTTTGGTTAATAGTTTCTCATTTACAACTTTTTGCAACTCTTTGCCATGCAAAAGTACTGATCCACGAAACACAGCTACACTGGTTAAGCTCGTTCTAAAAATACACGTAAAAAAAAGACGGTACAATTGGACAAAAACACATAACAACGACAGAAACATTGGTCAACTTTAGTTTAAATACCTGGACAATCGTTTTCCATATTTATTCATTTACTTTCTTCGTAAGCTTTTGCCACAACAAACTATCAAAGTTGCACAATTTTTCGTGCCAATTTCATACAATACAACTGCTACGTAATCAGCTGACTTTAACAGATGGCCAGCAGAACAGTGTTGCTCCATTGATTAAAGTTACATATTTTTTTATCTGTCTAGGGTGTTTAAAAATTAAAAATAAAAAAATGTTAAGATACATCAAAATAAAAAAATTGACTTTATGCCAAAAAAAACGCGAAAAAAACCATAGTGCGATGGTGTTCTGCGGCTCCCGCTCCCAGGCCGGACAGAGCTGGTGGGATTCGCTGATGACTTAGCCGTAGTCGTAGTCGCAGTGAACGAAGCTGATGGAGCCAACGGGATGGCAAACAAGCTGGCTGACGCCATGGCAAAGCGGCAAGAAAGGCGCTGAATGTCGCCATTAGGAACAGCAAGCGGGAATGCTTCCTCAAGCTGTGTGATGCCACCGAGGATGATCCATGGGGAGGCGCGTACAAGATGACGGTTAAGATGCTGAACGCGGGGAGAAACGCTCCATCCGACCCGGAGGCGCTGGAGGGGATCGTTAGAGCCCTATTTCCAGAAAACTTCCCAAGAGCCGAGCCAGGAGATTTCCGCAGTGTCACGGAAACCGAGGTACTGCAGGCCGGCATGAACATAAAACCCAAGAAGGAGCCGGGTCCGGACTGGATTCCAAGCAGAGCGACGAAGTTGGCTCTAGCGTTGCTGCCGGAGCAAGTGGCCGGGCTTTTTAACAAATGCCTCCAGGAAGGTACGTTCCCCATTAGGTGAAAACGGCAACGGCTGTTGTTGTTGGCCAAGCCAGGAAAGCCGCCAGGAGAAGCATTCTCCTACAGGCCAATCTGCCTGCTGGACATAATAGGCAAAGTCGTCGAGAGGGTGATCGCAACCAGGATGACAGAAGCCATTGAAGCAGCGGGCGGCCTATCCCCCGAGCAATTCGGCTTCAGGAAGGGAAGGTCTACCATGGACGCCATTATGAAGGTGGTTAAGGTGGCTAAGGAAGCCATCACTGGCTCCAGGTGGAAAGGAGGAACGAAATCCTACTGTCTAGTGGTCACCTTGGACTTTGGAAACGCGTTCAACACGGCTGACTGGGGGCGGACAATGGAGTCCCTGAGGAGGTTCAATATCCCCAGCTACCTACTGAATATAGCGCTAAGGTACTTTAGCAACAGAGTGCTCACTATGGACACATGAGCATACAATGACTCAGCCGGAGGCCTCCGTTTTGGGAACCCTGCTCTGGAACGCCATGTACGATGGAGTTCTGAGACTCCCAATGCCAGTGGGCACCAGCCTGGTTGGTTTTGGCGATGACGTCACCATAGTGGTGGTAGCCAAGGAGCTAGCGACGGTAGAGACTCACGCCGACGCAGCGGTGCAGGCGGTAGAGTCGTGGCTACCGAATGCAGGGCTGCAGCTGGCGGCCCACAAGACGGAGGCGGGGCTTGTCTCAAGTCGAAAAGCGGTGGATACAGCTAGTGTGAGGGTCGGTGGAACCACGATACGATCCCAGCGGGCAATCCGGTATCTTGGCGTCCTTCTCGACACGCGCCTGTGCTTCAAGGAGCACCTGGATTAGAAGGCCAGCGGAACCGCCAGAGCTCTATCCAGGATGCTGCTAAACACTAGAGGGCCGAACCAGGCAACCCGGAAAATGCTCACGACGGTAGTGACGTCGCAGATGCTGTATGCAGCGCCGGTATGGGGGGAAGCCGCTAAGGTAAAAAGCTATGAGCGAGGGCTGGAGGCAACCTATAGGCTTGTGCGCCGTCAGAATCGCGTGCGCCTTCCGAACCATTTCGGAAGACGCGGCGCTGGTTATCGCCGGACAAGTCCCCTTGACGGAGCTCGTTCGGGAGAGGGCGGAGATCTACGCAGCCGCGCAGGACAGGGAAGCAGCCCTGCAGACTAGAGCAGAGTCGAAGGTTACCGCCAGAAGGAAGAGCTTCGAGAACTGGCAGAATCACTGGGACTCCTCGCAAAAGGGACGCTGGACACACACGCTCATCCCGAACCTATCGAGCTGGGTAGAGAGGTCGCATGGGCAGGTAGATTTCTACCTCACCCAGGTGATTAGCGGGCATGGCTACTTCCGCAGCTACTTAAAGCGATTCGGCCACCAGACGGAGGACTGGTGCCAGGAGTGCAGCTCCGGCGTCGTGACGACGACATGAGCTGGAGGCAATAGCAGGGTCCAGAATCTTGGCAGAGACACTGGTGCCGATGATGCTGGCAGACCAGCGAGTGTGGGAGGCTGCAGCGACATTCGCCGCGGACGTCATGAAGTCGCTCAGGGAGCTAGAGCGAAGGCGAAAGGAGCAGGCAGAGTAGGGGTCACCGCGCCCGCGAAGGCATGCCAGGCGGCGGTACCGCTGGGCGTTCGATTTATATTCTATCTGTTAACTGTTAAGCCTTTCATGTGTATATGTAGTGTATGTATATTGTAAGAGTAATAAATATAACGAAAATAAAAAAATAAACAAAAAAAAAACACACACATCACACGGAGAGGAGCCACCAACGGCACGAAGCCGAAAATAAATTTCCGAAGGGAATATAAAGAGATACGTTTTGTAACGACCCTCTTTTGGGGTGCTCGGCCTAGCTCGCCGGAGTCGGGGTTCGTACAGAAAATTTGTAGTGTCCGAGTCCCTCGTGTCCCAATAATCAGTAAATAGGCAAGAGGCGAGAGGTAATTTTAATACAAGCTTTATTGATCAAGATATATAGTGAAACCTGTGGGAAGAATACAGTGTGGTTGCTGCTGTGGGGGTGTCTTGTTGATACCCTGGTTGCGGGTAGATCCGTGTCCCGGTCTTCGATGGTGTTCAGCCGGCTGGCTGACGATGATACCCGGTGGTGGGTGATGCGACGCTGCGACTAGGGTCCAGTGGGTCGACTTGTGGTTACCCTGCTCGGGCGATGCGACTGCTGATCGTCGGTGTGGCGATGCCCTGTATCGGTGATGCGATCGTCGGTGATCGGCTTGTGAGTACCCTGTTCGGGTGATGCGACTGTCTCGTGGTCGGCTTGTAAATACCCTGTTCGGGCGATGCGACTGTATCGTAGTCGGCTTGTAAATACCCTGTTCGGGCGATGCGACTGTATCGTAGTCGGCTTGTAAATACCCTGTTCGGGCGATGCGACTGTATCGTAGTCGGCTTGTAAATACCCTGTTCGGGCGATGCGACTGTATCGTAGTCGGCTTGTAAATACCCTGTTCGGGCGATGCGACTGTATCGTAGTCGGCTTGAGGATACCCTGTTCGGGCGATGCGACTATCTCGGAGTCGGCTTGAGGATACCCTGTTCGGGCGACGCGATTAGGGTGCGTGACTGGTGCGGTGGGCCGCTGTCGTGGTCACGATAGGTGGGTCCGGGTGACGTCACTCGCGGTGAGCGATCGTCGTGCCTAAGCTCGCACCGTCCCTAACGCCTTTCTGCTATCAAGATCCGCCGGCAAGGGCCAGATCTTCTCCCCTCCTATGCTTGCTGGGCGAATGTGGCGAACCTCATTCGACGCCCTCCCCTATTCCTGATCTGCCATCCAAGGGCCAGGTCAGAACCCCAAGTCTATACTACCTGTACGGCGTGGTCATACGGACCGCGCTCGATACCCTGTTTCCGCGAGATCTGCCATGCAAGGGCCCGACCTCGTCCCACGGCTGACTATCTGTGCGAAGTCCGCCAACTAGGGCCAAACTCCGCTCCTCCCAGCTACTTCGTTAGATCCGCCTGCAGGGGCCAGATCTAGACCTATCGCTACCTTCACCTTTCCTACCTTCTTGGCTATTAAGGTCCGCCGCCAGGGCCAAACCTTATTCTACTGCTAAGTCTACGATTAGTACTACTTGTTAACTCACCAGTTCACTGCTCGGCTGCTCTGCAAAAGTGAAGTTGCACTGGCCGGTGCGTCGCTTTATATAGCCGGTCGACAGCTGTTCTCCCCCGATCGATAATCGATAATTCCCCGATGGCCGATAGGCAGGGCGTTGCCAGATCGATCGTATCCATTCGATTATCGTCAGCTGTTCAGGGCTGGACGCGCTATTCCTTGGCCGGCGTTGCCACTACTATTCTTAATCTTATTTGAAAGCTTAATTCTACTTATGGATTATATTTGTTGTTGCGACGTGGGTCGTCGCACTCCCCCTCCTTTGCCAGTTTAAATTTTCGAGGTGGTTCTGATGACTTCTCCTGCCAATCTAGCTGGGTTGACCCGTTATTGAATTTGACCATTGTGCTAGTGTTCCTGTGTGAGTGTATTTGTGTTATTAGGTTCGGTGTTGTCGAGTGCTATTCCCTGTTCTCCTAAGTATTTCTTCATGTTATTTACATATGCTCTTTGTGTCTTGCCCGACCCTATCTCTTTTACTACTGCTATTACTGGGGACTCTAGCTTTATGACTCTGAATGGACCCTCAAACTTCGGTGCGAGCTTGGCAGAGAACTTGTCGTACGCTTTTGACAGTGGGTGTTGTCGAACCCACACCATGTCCCCCCTTTTTCGGCTTCCATTCGCGTTTCCTCAGGTTATATGTTCTGGCTTGATCCTGCGCTGCTTTTTCCATGTTCTTTCTTGCTAGCTCACATGTTTCCTTGATTCGCGCCATTCTTTCTTCCGTGGTCTCCTCGTTTATCGCTGAGCCTTTCGTTGTTTCATCGAACAGACTTCCCGGCAGCCTTGGTTCTCTCCCGTACGTGAGGTATGCCGGGCTGTATCCAGTTGATTCCGATCGGCTGCTGTTAAATGCTAGGGTCAGCTCCGGTAGTACGTCGTCCCATCGGTCGTGCCTTTCTCCCGCGAACTGTGCGATCATGGTTTTTACGGTTCGGTTCGCACGTTCAGTCGGGTTTTCTTGCGGTGTATATGGAGCCGTGAACTGCTGGTGTACTCCCCATTTTGACATCTGCATCCTGAATTTGTGGCTTGTGAACTGTACTCCGTTGTCTGAGATTAACACCTTTGGAGCCCCGGTGCGTGCTAGTATTTTCTCCCGAAACGTTTTGAGGACTGCGTCTGTGGTCGCTTTCCGTATTGCTGTCAGCTCTACCCATTTTGTGAACTTGTCAATGAATACCAGTAGCATATTGTTGCCGTGACTTGACCTTGGTAATGGGCCCACGAAATCGACGCATAGTGTTTCACCCGGTGCCTCCGCTATCTGTGTGAGCATTCTTCCGGATGCCTGCTGTTGTGACACCTTGTATTGTTGGCATGTCGTGCATCGGTCAATATAATTCTTGACTTCCCGATGCATTCCTGGCCAGTAGTATCGCGTAGCAATCCTGTGCTTGGTCTTTCTTACTCCCAGGTGTCCTGCCGTTGCTGTTTTGTGGTTTTCTTCCAATACTCTCGCTCGTTGGTGTTTGCCTACGCAGAGTTTCCAGGGTTGTATGTCTTCGTCTGCTGCCCATGACGGTAGGTGTCTATATAATTTGTTGTTTTCGACACAGTAGTCTGGCCACCGACTCGGATTCTTCTCAATGTCTATTAGTTTTTCTCTAATCCATTTGTCTTCCGCTATCTCGGCACTTTGGGCCTCTTCGGTAGGTTGTCTTGACAGTGTATCGGCTACTACATTGAGTTTACCCTTCCGATATCGTACCTCGAATGAGTATGGTTGTCGTGCTAGTGCCCATCTCGCCACCCGTCCTGACGGACTCTCTATGGAGTTCAGCCACTTTAACGCCAGGTGATCCGTTATTACCACGAAGTGGTATCCTTCCAGGTACATCCTCATCTTGTGTATACCCCAGTGTATCGCGAGGCATTCTTTTTCTGTTGCTGAGTAGTTCATTTCCTCCTTCCTTAGTTTGCGGCTCGCATATGAGATGACGTGTTCTCCGTCGTCGTCTTCTTGCGTGAGTACTGCCCCTAAGCCGCAGTTGCTTGCATCTGTTTGCAATATGAATGTCTTTGTGAAATCTGGGCATGCGAGTACTGGTGCTTCTGTCAGTGCCTTTTTTAGTTCTTCTGTTGCTCTTCCGTGTTCTTCTGTCCACTCGAACTTCGCGTTCTTCTTTATCAACTCAAACAACGGCTTCGCGATTTCGGTGAATCTGGGTACGAACCTTCTGTACCATGAGGCGACTCCCAGGAAGCTGTGAACTTGTTTTGTCGTTGTCGGCTCGGGCAGGTCCTTGATTGCGGCTATTTTGTCGGGGTCTGTGTGTATCCCCCTCGCGCTTACTACGTGGCCTAGGTACTTCAACTTGTCCTGGAAGAAATGGCACTTTTCCGGGTTGATTCGTAAGTTCGCTTTCCGTAGCCTTGCCAGTACCTCATGGAGCTTTTCCAGGTGTTCTCTCTTTGTTCTACCGATCACTACAATGTCGTCGAGGTAGGCGAACGCGAATGGTTCCATCTCCGGGCCTATCACTGAATCCAGTGCCCTTTGGAACGTTGCTGGTGCGGTGTGCAGACCGAATGGCATGACCTTCCATTGGAATAATCCTCGTCCCGGTACTGTAAATGCCGTGTACTGTTTGCTGTTTTCTTCCATGGGTATTTGCCAGTAGCCGTTCTTTAGGTCCAGTGTGCTGATATACTTTGCCTCTCTCAGTTGGTTAAGGATGTGGTCCATCCGTGGTACTGGGTATGCGTCTCGTTCCGAGTGCGTGTTCAACTGCCGGTAGTCAATACATAGCCTCCACTGGTTGTTCTTTTTTTTAACGAGCACTACCGGTGAGCTATATGCTGAGTGTGAGGGTTCGATCAGGTCTTGTTGTAGGAGTTCCTCCACTAGGTCGTGAATTATCTTCTGCATTGCCGGGTTTTTCGGATAGTACCTTTGCTTCAGTGGTCTGTCGTGTTTCATGTATATCTTGTGTTTTGCAATGTGACTTGTTCCGTGGATTTCACCCATCAGCTTTAGTTGCCTTTTTAGGAATTCCTCGACTTCTGCCTCTGTCGGTTCGGCTGCCGCTATTCCTACTTTCTGGTGTTTCTGCTGTTTTCCAGTCTGTGGCTTGAGCTGAGTGGTTAATCCTCCGCACCGCAGTGTCGTATCCCACTGTGCCAAGAAGTCTACCCCTAGTAGTATACCTCCGATAACGTCGTCCAGAATTAGTAGCGTTATTTCTGCTTTTCTTTCCCCTAGCTCGATCTTTAGACGTAGTTCTTCTGTGGCCGTTGTTGTAGTTCCATCCGCTAGATTTATTACCTCGTCTGT